ACTATGTAGACCAGGCTGGCCTTGAACTCACAGAGATCCGCCTGCCTCTGCCTCCCGAGTACTGGGATTAAAGGCTTGCACCATCACCCCCGGCCCAAAAATAAGTCTTTTAAAAAAAGAAAAAATAAAGAGTGATAAGACATAAATCTGATGCCAAATGGAGCAACTCAGAGCTTTTTGATTAGTCAGGAGAAAGGCAAAATGGTCATTATCCAAGACCTCTGCTCTGGGAAGGATCTAGAACGTTAGTGTAGAATGCTGGCCAACAAAAGTAAAGACGAGCTGAGAGAAGTCAGGTCCCGTCATGACATTCTGCAGGACACACAAAGAAAACCAACAGAGTAACACGAGACCCAAGAATTTACTAAAGCTGTCTGACACAGGAGCAACACGGAGAACCCAAAAGCTTTCCCGTGTCAACGGTTACCGTCAATGTACAGTGTTAAAGACCCCATGACAACAGCAACAGGCATGTACAAACGCTGCCAAAACAGAGTGGGGGTTTCCCAGACTGGGGCAGCTTTGCCCTTGGGAAATACTTGGTAATGTCTGGAGTTATTTATATTTATCTAATTATGTATTCATTTATTTTGAGTCAGGGTCTCACCATGTAGCCCTGGCTGGCCTGGAACTCACTATGTAGACCAGGCTAGCCTCCAACTCATAGAGATCCACCTGTCTCGACCTCCCAAGTGCTGCAGTGACAGTGTGAGTCGCCCTACCTGGCGTTCGTTAATTCTGGTTAACGAACTCTACCTAGAGGCCATGGATGCCTTGGGCCACCGTACACTGCACAGCCCCTCAAACAAAGAACACAGGACTATTTGCGATGCAGCGTCCCTCCACCTAGAGTGACCGATGACTTTACTGACTGATGACTGAGATCTGATGATGGGTGATCAGTGCCGAGGCAGCCGGGAAGCAGCCATGGCTGAGTGGCAGGGACAGTGCCCCCACGCCCTGTGGCTCTCCTCTCAACCGAGGCTGTGCTGTGAAAACATTTACTAAACACCCAGTGCCGGGTCATGGGCTGCACTGTGACAGAGCATCTGCCACTCACCGGCTCCTGGACCAGGGGGTGAACCATCACAGTTCCCGGTAGTTGCCTTCGTTGGCCAAAGCCATCTTGGGCCTGATGAGCAGGATCCTCCTGTGGCAGGGGACAGGGCAGCTCACTTCAGGCTCCGGGGACAAGTATCCTGTTGTGCAGGCCACACACCACAGAATGGGGTGAGCCTACAGAATCACATCAAGACCAGGGCCCTGAGCAAACCTGCTTCCTCCTCTGGGCTTCAGCTGTTTGCAAAAAAGGGGTCCCCTTGGCGCCATCCACCCCGACAGCTGACTGTGAGGGAGTCTGAGGCACGGCAGGTGCCCGTGCTGGCCACTGGTGACTGGAGACAGTGAGACCTCCCTCACCTAGTCGCCTAGTTCATCCTCCAGCCCAAACCCAGCCCACCCTCCCGCTGACAAGGATATGTCCCCAAACCCTACCCTCAGGCCTCCTCCTACTGTGGCTGTGGTGTGGAGGGGGGTTGTGTGTCAGAGGAAGATCACAGGAATTGCCGTGTCGTGTCATGCTCACTAAAGGCACCTCCTGGGGGAGGCCTCTAGCACGCGGCCCCCCTCAGCTCCGGGCACAGGCAGACTGGCCACCCTCCAGGGTCACCTACCAATTAAGAAAGATGACTCTGCAGTTGTAGCGAACATTCCAGTGCATGACAGGCCTGCAAGAGGGAGGGAGAGAGAGATATGTGTCTGCCCTGGTACAAAAGCTGGTGGTTCAACAGAACCACATATTCTTTGGTGGTGGTGGT